ACTATATGTATACATAATGTAAGCCATCGCGCGTATGTTAAAAAAAAACTGAACTAATCCAAGGCTAAAAAAATTAAACTAAATTGAGAAGATTTAATCATAAAGGAATCAAAAGGGTATATGAAGGGAAAAATCCATTTTGATGCGTGGTAAACACAATTAATCATAGAAATAATATAGATAATTGAAAATAAGCCCTAATAAATTCGTTTTACATATTTTGCAACTATAAGGAGATTCGTATCGTCTTAACATCAAGAATGCGTTGCGGGATAGAAAATAAGAAGACGGAACCCATGTTTTCTGAAATAACCAAAACCCAGTTTTTCGAATACTTTATTGTAGTGGATCTTAGGCACAATTTTGTTACACAACATCGATTGTTAGTTCTTAAAACAATATTTAACAGTGCACGGCAATGTGCAATCTCATTTGCAATGATAAATACCCGGCGCGAAGAGGCCGAAGTGGGAGCCGCCGTGAACGAGAAAAATCACTTCACCCTCCCATACAAAGTTATCACTTCAAAAACAACCCGCAAACAATTTGAAAATTTGGTAGAGTTTGTGGAGGAAAGTAAAGTTTATTTCCAAGAGCATTTACCAATTGTTCTAATAAAGCTAACCTTATGAGACCTTCAAAAGACATATTTTACTTTAAATTAAAAACAAATTATAGCTAAAACACAAAACTACGCTCTGATTAAACACAATTGTTTTGTTTATTCCTCCGAGTTTAACTTCGAGGGACGCACGTGAAGTTCGATAGCGGCATGTGATTTGATGCTGTTATTCTGAAGCGCTATTTCTTAATATAACGTTCGTCGATAGCGTGCACCTGTTATAATATAACGGTTTGACTGATACAACACACCAGTTAGAGCCACATAACGTGTTTGACGGATAACATGCACGTTAAAGTTAACGTGAGTGATACAGCACAGGGCTGATTGTCTTTTTCCGGTAAAGATAATTAAATTTAGCCGTTTAACCAGACTATACAACATATAATATGGGTGTTGTATTTAAAAATGTTATCTTGGGTCATAAAACTTTTCTTTGATCCACTTTGTATATATAGGGTGGTCCAACAAAAAGGTCGTACCTCTAGTTATGACTCTCGTGGTAGACCTAGAAAAAAAATGCTCGGACACGTCAGCTTTGATTTTTAAGGGGACATCTTCCTAACTATCACTGCATTATACAAGGTGTTTTATAAACAAGATGCTCCGTCACAATTTTTATTTTCAAATGAAAACCTACTAGTTTTTTGTAATTTTTTTATCCTGCCAGAAGTTTGGAATACATTTGGTATAGCATGTTCTATACCCATCTTCAACCGTTTCAATTTGATTTGCGTTTGTTGTTGAATTATTGAGATATTGGCCGTTCGAAAGTATAGCAGTTTGCTGTATCTATGGGTTCCTCTGACAGATTAGCAAAAACAACGAGGCACCGTCAAGTGTCAGTGTGGGCTTAAACTGTTTTTCAACTTAATGTGCACATCTTGCATTACAATGAAATTTTCTATTCGCCAAAGAGTAGAAATAATAAACATTTAGTTTGAAAATGTTGCAAAGTTATGCCAGGGCTGCCGCCCCTTTATTTAATCAGTTACATCCAGACTGAACTATTAACGATAAGTATGTGGAAAGATTAATCAAGAAGTTTGAAGGATTTGGACCTGTGATCATCCGGTTTTGGGACGGGACGGCAGTTGACAATAGCTGAAGTACACGCCAACTGGCTACATCTTCCGAAGTTTCTCGCACGTCAATACGAAGAATATTGAAAATATTGTCATAAATGTCCTCCTTACAAAATAAAACTTGTACATGAACTTAATGAAGATGACTATGATAGAAGTTTGGAATTCTGCGTACAAATGAGTCAACGGTTGCTCAACAATAGACACTTGCTGTTTAATATTTGCTTCTCAGATGAATGCAAATTCTATTTACACGGCGTTGATAATAGACATAGTTGTCGGTATTGGAGTGACTCAAACCCTCATTTATTTAGAGAAGTCGATTTTCAACATCTCCGCAAGTTAAACGTTTGGGCAGGTATATTAGGAAATCATATTGTAGGACCTCTTTTTATTCCTGGAGACTTGACAGACGAGTTATACCTGGAGATGCTGGAAAATACAGTAGATCCAATACTTAAGGAAATAATAGAAAACGACGGTTACCATATCGGCAAACATCTTCAATTTTAAGAAGATTGCGCACCACCCAATTATGGAGCTCCTGTAAGGCAATTTTTGGATCACAACTTTCCTAGTCGGTGGATTGGTAGTTGAGGTCCAATTGAATGGCCACCGAGGTCCCCGGACCTAAATCCTTTGGACTTTTTTCTTCGATGGTATTTGAAAAGACAAATTTATGACTCTTAACGAGAGTCGATAGAAGAGGTTTGCCACCGGATTACACATGAGCACAGACAAATTTCTTCAGATAACTTGTTAACTGACAGCAAAAGAATTGAGCAAAATCGTTATAAATGTATGGAGGAAAACTGACATTATTTTCAACATTTATTATCACATTGAAGTCCATATGTTTGCCTAATAAATATTGTTGTAGCTTAATACTTCATTTATTTAATTTAAAAGAAATTATTAAATGTTGCAAATTTCGAGTTTTGAATTAGGTTTCTAAATGAGTAGTTAAGTTAAAAAATCGTTTAAGCCCACACTGACACTTGACGGCGACTGGGCGGCGAGAGGCATCCATAGAAACGGCAATGTGAAATACTTCCGAACGGCTCAATATCTCGATCATTCAAAAACAAACGCAAATAAAACTAAACCGGTTGAAGATGGGATAGAACATATTATACCAAATTTACTACAATTTTCTGGCAGGATCGAAAAATGACATCAGACTAGTTGGTTTCCATTTGAAAATAAAAAGTGTGATGCAGTATCTTGTTTATGAAACACCCTGTATAATGCATTGATGGTCAGCAAGATGTCTCCTTAAAAATAAAAGTTGACGTGTATGAGCGTCTTTTTCTAAATCTATCAGAAGAGTCATAAATAGGGGTGCGACCTTTTCGTTGGCCCACACTGTATTCCTTCGGCATTAAACGAAAACGTAATGTCCGACAAGAAATAAAAATGAATGGGAGCGAACGATTTTTCTAAAAACGTTTGCACTATGTCTATCGATTTTATTTCTTACTTAAGCACAATCCTGAATCAGAAACTTATATTATAGGACCAGCTACTGCAGATTCAAGAAAAAAGACGCAGTGTTGGAAGTCAACTGGCAGAAGTACGCCAACGATCGATCGATTTGCAAGATGAACTGCACAAGGTTAAACGACAAGAAGACTTAGAGCGGTTTTTGGAACTAATGAAAAAAGAAACAGAGGTAATTTGTACTTGATTGACACGGATTGACCAATATGCCAATGCTGCATATATTTGCAGGTTTTGAAACTTGAAAAGTCAATTGCTAACACGTTTCAACAATATGATCAAACTGAACGGGAATTGTTTACAGCCTTTTCTGATTCGATAAGAGACTCGCATGAGAAGCAAAGGGCACAAATGGAGTACACAAAATATTTCGGTTTTGTCTTAAGTATAGCTGGCTCTTTTTTAGCGTTTGTTTATTCAACATTAAGGAAAGAGCAACTGAAACAAATTATAGATGAGAGGTTGAAAAAAGTCACCGAATTAAATGTTAATATGATGAATACAATGCTCGCGAATCGAAGTACTCTTGACAAATTTGATGATCGAGTTACAAACATATTAACTCAATTGTCCAATTACAATCGGATAAATGTTGATACAGTTCGCAACGATGCAACTAGTCCAAGTGAGGCTGACACATTTCTTAACCTAAATAATACTTATTTGCAAGTTGCTGGTATTCTACTCGGTCTGTGGTTAATTTCTAAAGCTTTGTCTGGTTGATTACCATTAATTTTATCTATCTATTACCGTTTAGACTAGGGCTCGGAATTTTTAAAAATCTTATATTCGAATATTCGTTTAGTGGTTTATTGGAATATTCGAGTATTCGAATATTCGAGTATTTCTAATCGTATTCGTTAGATATTCGAGTGTTCGTTTTCCGTTCACCGTTTTTCAAGATGAAAAATCGTTATCCTATCATTTTTTGCAACTAGCCGCAACGAATAAAAAAATGCCTGCGTCGGCACATTAATTGTAACACCGCGCAAAAGTTGATGACGCGTATCACCAGAACACAGAGACGTAATTTTGCATTCATTTGCAGGAGAGTAAATATGATTATTTTAATTTGCTTGTAAATATATGGGTATTTGTTCAAATGCTTGTAGAATATGAATAATTTATTTTATAAAAGTATACAAAGTGCATATAAAGATATTTGCACCTTGTGAGTTTGATAATGTTGGTGTATTCGAGTATTCGAGTATTTGAATATTCGAATACTCGAATATTCGAGTTATGACTACACATAATTATTCGCTTTTCGAATATTCGAATACTCGAATTATTCGAGTTTGATTCCGAGCCCTAGTTTAGACACAACAAGATGCCGTATAAGGGTCATTTTGAATTAAGATAAAACCGCATTTAAGTAGATTCGCAAGAGAATAAATGATGATGCGAGCTGTGTTCCAAAAATGTTGTAGCTTTAAAATGAAAAACATTATTATTAAAGTTAGTGATTGAGTTTAAGGATGTTGTATTTTATGTGAAGAGATAGCGTTGTACATTATAAAATATTGAAGTAGTCTCTTTTTTTCTAATTTGTAAACACTTTATAAGGATAGATCGGTTGTGTTTTCTGCAATAGACTACATAAATTTATTGTTGTTAGTAAACTGCGAAGTTTCAACTTAGCTATGTTCTGTTGTCCCGTGTTGCGTCGGTCAGACCGCTTGGTGCTTGTGTGTATTTGGCCTTTCTCACAAACAGCAAGCCTCGCTCTGCCAGCTTTTATAGCTTAAGGCATGTGATGTGTTTGGAGATATGCGAGGAGTGTACAGCAATATCATTCAAAGCAATTACCGAACTGTTTCCTGCTCACGATTATTTCTCTTTATGGAGATATTCCGTTTTCTCCACGATCCCCAGATCTTACCCCCTTAGATTAATCCCTATTGGGATACCTGAAGAGTGTGGTCTACCCGATCCGGTAGCAGAAGCCATGAAGCAACTGAAAGATCGCTTTAACAATTGTATAATTTTAGATTATCGGTTTTGATGATGATGATTGATACCTCTTTGTGGTAATGATCTGGGCAGGCCTGGGTAACACAGGGGATTTTCGGGTGTTCACACCGCGATACCGATATGGCTTGCTGTATCGAAACAGCAACACAGCGCGCCATACTTTTTACGTTGGGAAATGAAAACAGAAGGCGCTGTGCTGTGTTTCGCGATGTCTAGTGGTTCGTAATTTCGCTAGCGGTGTTTTTAAGCGGTGCAGCAAAGAAGGAGAAGAACCATTCGGACCATTGAAGTTGTAGTTTGATCTTTATTTACAAAAAAAATATTTACAAATTTTGTCTAGTTTAAACACCGAATTAAATTGAATGCATATCTTAAGAACTATACAGTCAGCCTTACGAGTTATTTGACCGTAAAACGTATTACTTTTTTTCATGTGTGATGGTTTTAACAGATCATAAACCATGTAGCTGTTACACCATAGAAAAATCCTAAAGTGGACAATGTTCTTGAACCTTTACTTGAACTGTTCATCAGAGTTGCATTATAATAGTTAATACTGGTGTTTATCCAATCGTAAAACGTTGTCAGCCGAGCGAACACTGAGGGAAGACCTGCTGAACAATCACTGGCACCAAAAGACACAATACCTACTTGGGTCCCTTCTATTACAAGTGGTCCTCCCGAATCGCCATTACACGAACCCACAATACCAGCCCCTAAAAACGTAAATTTAAATTAATCTTAGCAGAAATAATAGAAAATACACAACATTTAAGCACTAATTTTTACATCCCATAAACTAATCAAAATTGCAGTTATATTGCAAAAATGTAACATATCATGAGAACGTTTCAAAACTGTTTCAGAAACGTCTTTAGCGCACAGGAAATTCATGGTTCTTCGGATCCATCGCGCATGGCATTATTAGGTATCTTATAAAACTTAACCATTATGATCTCTCCGAACAACAACGGGTGATTTGGGAGGTTGTATTATTTCATTTTTCATTATTGGATTCAAAGTTATTGCGCTACTTGACTGGTTCATCAAAATAAATGATTGTCTATAAAGGGTGTCGCAATGAGGATGGTAAGCAGCTGTATCTTGGAAAGTATGTGTTGTAGAGTGATCGGAAAAAAATTTGATAACAAACTTGAAGAAAATAATTTGCTAGAAACTATTTTGAACCTTCTCAGAGGACCACTAGATGGCGTAATTGCAAACGGGATTTTAAAAAGTCGATTTTAAACAGAAATTGTCCCGATAAGTAAAACATCTAGGAAGATTAGTCAAAAGACCATAAAAAACCGTACTAATTTCCTTATGAACTTTTTTCCTAACTTATCAAATAAAGGGTGGGGGTGAGTCAAGCCGCTTAATTCAAAAAAACCTGTAACTCCTAAACGGCTTGACCGATTTCAAAGATTTTACTATCAATTGAGAGAGCAATAAAAAATTCCCCTGTTCGACAAAATTTCTTTGTTTTAATTTTTTACAATCAAAATTTTAATCGAGATTTTTAACTACTTTTAAAATTTTTCAATAGTTGAATCGATATTTTCAACTTATCTAATTATCTCTCGTTAATTATTCATTTTCCTGTCAATGCTCGTTCATATAGCGGGTTCAAGTGGTGAAGAGACCCAACTCGTAAGTGTGGGTGACATCCTCCATATGCAGTTACCCATTCATTACGGAGCTCTCTGAATTGGTCCCGGACGCAAATTACAGTTAATAAATGACGTACCTGAAGTACATAAGTGCTGATCCATAATGTACGTCGTGTAATCAGAATATGAACTACAATTGTCGTTCGAAATTACCTCTACATCCACATATCGTAACTCATCAGAGAGTGAACCTGAAATGGATTACGTTTGATATTAGAACAATAATTTATGTCGTGATTGATTGAAAAAAAGTGGAATTTATGTTTTACATAAATTCCACATTCCACATTCCTAAATATAGATTAACTAAGTGATCCGAACCCCCACAATTAAAACTTCACTATAATCCGAAATTCATAATTAAATGAAATAACATTTCTTATGACTATTATTTATGAACCCACTGATTTTGTAATCCAAGTTATAGCGGCTGTACAGGATCAGTACAACTGATCAATTTTATCGGATAATTCGGAAACCGTATCAGTTTCAAAAACAAAACGTTATGAGTGTTATGAGCTCGATTTTGAATAGTTTTGTTAATTTACTGATGAGCTGAAAAGGGCAAAACTGAAATATTGCCGATTTCAACTTAATGTTTTAGCTCATTTATTACTGGAATTGTTTGCAAAATGCATATACTTTTTTAATAGATAATAATAATTTTTAAAGTATAAGTAGAAAAATATACGGAGCCTTTCAAAAAGTTATAAGGTAAACTTGTGTTTTTTTTATAGAACACCCTGTAATGTCATTCAAGTTCAACCATATTACTTAGATTGATACTAGGTGTCAATTTGCAAACTTCCCACCCTTAATATCTTTCTTGCAGTTGAAAATATGGAAAATCGGAGACACGTCAATTTTATTTGTAAGAGTGACACTTTAAATTAGTATTTTTAATCTGCAGATCGTTTTAAATAGCCTTCAATTATTTTTACATTAATTACCACTTTGTTGCTGCTTGTCAAAAGGTTTTCGAATAATTGCGTTTCCACACTATTCTATTCAGACGAGCGCCCTAATGGAACTCGAGGGCGGCTGTGTGCGTGCGAGAGAGAACTGTGTACTTGTCTTTACCTTTGCCAGAAATAACGGCGCCGTAACGAATTGCAATTCATTCACACCGTGCCATAAGAAACTATCAATTAAAAAATTTCAACAAATCGACATGTCAGTCTATTAAGATATCTTTGTTAAAGTAGACAATTAGGAGGCAGCTAATTGGACACTTAAACCTATTAATTATTGTTGTCGTTACTTAAATGTTAAAACTTTCTTACATTCTGGCTTTTACTTTGTAGTATGTACACTTTATGTATGTAAACTTTTTAAGCCATTGAGTAGTTTGGTGGTCAGAATTGATTTATGCACTTACACGGTTGAAACAGGTGGGTACCTATCTACAGGGTGAGTTTTTTTCGATGACTAGTACAGGGATCTTCGGAACTAGAGCAGTTACGAAGAAGGTCAAATGGACAAGAAATTTTAGTTTTCAATGCTCTACTCGAAACGATTTTTATTTTTATAAAATTTAACAGCTGTTAAGAGATATATGGGAAAAACTTATTTATGGTAAATTTTTAAATTACTCCTAGTTCCGTTGATATTAATTTGACAGGAAGCCAGTAAACAGAAAATTTGAGGAAAATTGAATTCCCATCAAAATGGCATAAGACATTTCTCCAAAATTACTGTCATTTTTTATTATATGACATAACATCGAGTTTTTTTTAAATGGCAACCATTCTTAATTATTGCTTTACCGAATAGAGCATTTTATTACGATTTCTGTGATATATAACACCGTTAGGTTTTTTTCGAAAATAAAGTGTCTGCAAACAATTTATAGTTTTTTTAATTTAGTGGATCGAAGTTAGCCATGGAAAATAGTATAAGACGTACAGCATTGTTTCCATAGTAGCAAATAATAACAGCATGCTTTTCAGTATTTATTTTGACAACAACGTCAAAGTTGCCAATATCTTTATTTTAATTATGACGCTGCTTATTTAAAGTGTTATTAGAAAAATTGAGTCATACCCATAATAATTCAAATTTAACTCTAGAAACTTTAATTTTTATTGTAAAACATTTTCAAAAAGTCCATAATTATTATCAATGCAAACATTGCAACGCTTTAAAACTGAATAAGTTGGTTTTCTTGCGGACCGACCATCGAAATTTGCAAATGCTCTAACAACAGCTTCTTTAAGTGCATTTAAAATGGAATATTTGTTTTTGTAAATTTTGTTTTTACGGCTCTCCACAAAAAGAAATCCAATGGTGAAAGATCCGGTGATCGAGGTGGCCATAAAATAGGACCGTTTCGTGTAATCCAAGCCCCAGGTGATTCCGTAATTCGGAAAAATTATGCGGAGGAGCGCCAGAATGTTGAAAGTCTTGCACATTACGCAATGTTTCTAAATCTAAGTTGTCCAACGTAAAATGCAGGTTATTCAGAAGGAATTGAAGATACCGATACCATTTAAGGTGCCTTCAAAAATAAATGGTTCAATAATTTTTGAACCTACTGTTCCGCTCCAAACGTTAAATCCAAATATTTTGTGATCTCCTTTGCTCAACGTGGTGGGGATTTGTTTGATTCTAAACATATTCATTGTGTCGATTAAACATACCACAATTTGGAAACCGAGTTTTATCGGTCCACAAGACTTTAAAAAGAATTGGATGTCTTGTTGGCATTTGTTTCGGAACCATGTAAGAAAATTTACACGCAGCTCCTCATTCCCTGGATGTAAAATTTGTGATATTGATAATTTATACGGAAGGAATTTGTGTTTTCTTTAAACTCTCATCACGGTTATTTGGAAAGTCCCAGATTCTGCTGCGATCTCTCTGGTTGAAATCTGTGGATTCTGGCTTACAATGGCCAAGACATTAACCTCCACAGCTTCATTTATTACTTTATATTCATTTCTTGGTTGCATAAAATTACCATAAGTGCCCAAATTGTCGTACAATCGTTTGAATGTTTTCAAGGAAGGTTGACAATGGTCAAAATACCTCTCAAAATGGTAATCAGAGGCTCGTATAGCATTTTAATCACATCTAATGTAGGTTTCAATTATGTCGCGCTTTTCTTAATTTGAATAATTCATTTTTACAATAAAACTTATACATTTTCCATGACTAACTTAGATCAACTAAATTTAAAAAGTATAAATTGTTCGCAGACACTTTATTTTCGAAAAAACCTAACGGTGTTATATATCACAGAAAACGCAATAAAATGCTCTATTCGGTAAACCAATAATCAAGTATGGTTACTATTTAAAAAAACTCAAATTTGTGTCATATATCAAAAATGACAGTTATTTTGGAGAAATGTCTTATGCCAGTTTGTTTGGAGTTCAATTTCCTACAAGTTTTCGATTTAATGTTTTCCTGTCAAATTAATATCAAAGAAACCAGGAGTAATTTAAAAAATTACCATCAATAAGTTTTTCTTAAATATCTCTTGACAGCTGTCAAATTTTAGAAAGATAAAATTGGTTTCGAGTAGAGCATTCAAAACTGCCATTCTTTGTCCATTTAACGTTTTTGTAACTACTATAGTTTTCGAGATCCCTTTACTGGTCATCGAAAAACACTCACCTCATATACACCGAACGTGTTCAATCATATATAAAATTTATTACGAATTCTATAAATCTAAAGTTTTAAGAAACCGAAAGAGTTCTGTTTGTATTATCCACACACTATTATAATCTATATTTATTTTTACCTAGAAGGGTTTTTCCCCATCCGAGACACTGACCAGTTAGTCCTTCATACAAATCGCTTCCAGAGGCAATTGGCACGACATTGATGTAGCTACTGAGCTTCACACTCGTTGGCAATTTTATCAGTGCAATGTCGTTCTGTAAGGTATCAGCGTCCCAGTTTTCATGTATGATGAACGTTGATGTGTTGTATATTATCCGCGTGTCTTCTTCTTCAGCCAAGTTATGCGACCCAAGGATGACCACTATAGATGTTGCACTGATAAAAGTAAAAATTAATTGCTAATATTACTAATAGAATAAATTTTATTAAAAATAAGCAAATAGGTTTTTCATATATGGACCCTTTCTTCTCTTATTAAGAGTGCAAGAGTATATTTAATAAATAAACAAGGTTTTCTTAAATATATTTATTATATTTACTTCAAAAAACTATTTTTGCCTAAAACTAAAATTAATTCTAAAAAAGCCGAGAACAAATACGTGAAATTATTATTATTCAAACACGAAATTGCTAAATATTCATTTAAATGGTCCAGTGTAGTTGTACAAGTGGTTGGTAAGTTGAAAAACTTCTCTTCGCGTCTACACTTGATATAGCTGCATATCTAAATTTTGATACCATTGCCGGCTCCGTAATTGGGTTTTGTAAGATTCCTCCATTTATAACCGAAGAAAAATTTTTCAACTTCTGAAATCCTTTGTTATTTGATATAACATCGTTTAGTTTTGTTTGTAGAATTTGTGCAATTGGCCCGGGTATGCCTCCTATTACATGGCTAAAGTGAATAATTTTTTAACTGACTCAACCAATAGCATTTGTTGTTTTTCTAAAGATTTTATAGTTTCACTTACAAACTTTTAATTACTTTTAACAAAGGCAAGATTATTGGTCAGTTCCCTATTTTCTATAACGGCATGACTATCGTATATGGCTTTATTTGCAGTGCCTGGAAAAGCTAGAGCAAGCTTTTGAAATCTTGAAGATTTGTCAAAGGTAAACGTCATCCGAAGCGTTTTTATTTTAGTTGAAGGTTTACTATTTTGAAATATGGATCGTTTAACAGTCGAAGAAAGCGTAAAAATTATTAAATGTTACTATAAAAATGGTGATTCTGCTGTATCAACGTTTAGGGCTTCACGAGCAGATTACGGTCGACATAATCGACCCACAGAGCAAACAATGTCGAACACAATGGAAAAATTTGAAGCGACTGGATCGGTTACTGATACTGTAAGGCCTGTGCATCATCGCAACATTCGTTCAGTTGAAAATATTGTTGTTGTTGCTCAAAGTGTGGAGGAAGACCCGAATTCGTCGATTCCCCGACGTGCTCAACATTTGGGCTTGTCTTAAGGCTCATTGTGGCGAATTTTGCTATTGGATTTGAAGATGCATCCGTACGAAGTTCAACTGACTCAAGAACTTAAGCCGCAATACCATTGGCAATTTTCTTCAGCGATGAGGCTCATTTTTCGCTCGGGGGTTACGTGAATAAACAGAACAGCCGTATATGGGGCTCTCAAAATCCTCAGGTGATCGCAAAAAAGTCTTTGCATCCTGAAAAGTGACTGTATCGTGTGCATTATGGTCCGGTGGTGTTATTGGCCCGTATTCTTTTAAAGCGATCAAGGAAGAGCCATAACAGTCAATGCTGAGCGCTATGAACACCTGTTAACCGATTATTTTTGGAGTGAAATTTAAGATTATGATCTGGAAGACATGTGATTCCAACAGGATGGGGCAACGAATCACACAACACTGGCAGTTAAAGCCCTATTGCAAGAGAAATTTCCAGGACGCGTAATTTCGCGATTGAGTGATGTCAATTGGCCCGCAAGTTCCTGCGACTTAACACCGTTAGATTTCTTTTTGTGGAGCAATGCAAAAGATCGTGTTTACGCCAAGAATCCTCAAACTCTTGAGCAACTGAAAGCCAATATCCGTGAAGTATGACCGAGATATTACCGGTAATGTGCCGAAAAGTCATTCAAAATTACCTCAAAAGGATTGAGGCATGTAGGAAGTCCCGTGGAGAACATTTAAAAATAACATTAAAATTTTCGTCTCAATCTGAATATTTTGTGTTTTTTTTTGCTTGATTTTCCCAAGCATAAAATGGATAACCCTGTATAATGTCGAGGTCTGTTTTTATCTTTATTAAATTAATAAGTTATCAGCCGTACGTTAAGGCATGTTTTCAAAATGGAAACCACTTTACTAACTTTACATGGCAATTAATGTAAACGTTAATTTTTTCGCCGATCTCCCAAGCTAAGGTGTTTGTTTATGCAGCGACAGTCATTCTGATGATAATTCAAATCATATTTAATAATTGTATCTTCGATTGCAATACAGTTCACTGGGAGCTTTGCAAGATTCCAAATAGGTCATTACTTTGCCGGGGTTAAACGAACGATACTTGTTTATAATCAGCTAACGCTCCTAATAAATACACATCCATGTCAAAGTTACCAGATTACAGTTTGTGCGACAAAGTGGGATACCTAGTATCTGAATAAGAAATTAAACGACTATTAATTAAATAACTGGTAATATAACTTTGGTAATGTCGGAATAAATATTAATCGGCAAAATCAGAATTTGTCTTGCTACAATTGAGTAAAATTTAACACAAATCTTCACTTTGCCTGATTAAGCCATCATTATTATCTATCTTTATACTAGGGATGGTTGGTATTTAACGTAACCGCTCATATAACAGTGTTCCAGACACCTGTTGTAACCTGGAACCGCAGTTACACTTTGCCAATTTAACCGATTGTTTTTGGAACCGTTTCATAATCCCGAAAAAGTGCTTTGCATCAGCACAGAACAGATTCAACACAGAAGTTTCAGTAACCATTTGTCAACGGAAAGTATGTTTAGTTGTGCCACAGCATAAAGATTATATCATATATAAAATGCTTGTCTCCATCTGAATATGTTGTATGTTTTTTTGACTTTACTTTCCCAAGAATAAAATGAAAAACCCTGTATAAAGCAGCCTCCAACCAAGTTTTCTAACGAGTTAGCACTGGGTTGATGCGTTTGATGTGTCACCGAATGGTAATGGAATGTTGGACAATCTCTCTGCTCAACTGCACTCTTAAAGGCGCTTTAATGAATATACGCTTGCAATTTTTTATTAAGTCATTGACAAGCGCAAATTGAAGCCGAAGAGTGTCTGCAACCCGATTGAGTCCCTACGCTAAACACGTGCAGTTTTAACCACATCATTTGCAGAATCGGAAATTATTAATAAAACTTTTTCATATGGCGCAGGTTCAGTAAGGTAAAAGTTTGTTAAGGTTTCATTTATAAATCTGAGAACTGTGTTGTTATTGGTTGCTTCCAGTTCTTTCGAATAATTAAATCACTTTTTGTCGGAACGTCCTCATTAAGCACGCCAATAATAGATATAGAATAGCAACATAATAGATTCCTGGCGATTTTAAAGAACTAAATGGGTTTCAAAGTAATTTAATAAAAACCTATTTTTAGCGACATCTTATAGGGGCCTATGTCTGAGTATGGAAGGTATGTAAAATGTTTTAATAAGAACTTGGCCCATATTTTGCGGGACACCCTGTATACTATAGTTAACACTGAATATCAGTGATGTTTGATGTTTGTGACTAATTCACTCAAACTTCGGTTTGTGCTATTGTAGATGAGTAATGAATAGAGTCATAAAATTAATCCATTTTTCTTCTTTTGTCAATTTACTTGTTATCTTATCTGCATTCTATTTGATCGAACTTACGATTCCGCGCAGTGGGCTGCCGTTAACACCCATTGCTGGGTTATTAAGGTACCACCGCAAAAATACAACATCCTCTGAATATACACATAAAGAGCCACCTGATAGGGATATTCGTTTGATGTAGCCACATTGCCACCGATTATTCTCGTTGAAATTGTGGCAGGAGCTCTGTCTTTGTTGAACGTAAATTGCGATGGGGGTACTCTCACTGGGATGTCCTAAAAGTTTTAGTATCGTTCAATAAGTACTTTATTCATTTATGTACATATAAGTATGCAACATTCACACACATTGTACCTACCCGTTTTTAAGGAGGAAATTTTAGCTTTAAATATTTTGGATATATTTTTATAAGCATGTTTCAGTGATTTCCGTTTATATTTTTATGCTATGGTTCATGATAGTGAGAAACAATACTGACTTACCCCAATACCCAGAGTAGTGGAAAACCCACTGAGATCAATTTCCTGTGCTGAAATGAAGCCAGTGCAAGCTAAGGCAACATTGATCAACAAAACATAATTCCACACCATGTTGAGTCTGATACCATGCCGGATTTACACGGTTTGCATACACTGGTCGCTTGTTCCGGAGAAGCATTCAGATCAAATGTAATTTATAGACATATTCTCTCTTGTGACTAAACTATTTACTAAAATTTGCAATGGTTATATAGATAAATAAAAGGTGCTGATTCGTTAACGAGATTGGATGTTTATGAGGTGTATGTTATTCACCATTTCACATGATCTTATCAGTATTTATTTGGGAATTTATTGCTCAAATGTAATAGCGTTGATTCATTAAAAACTATACTCTTTCAGCCAACAACCCAAGGTATTTCAAAATTGGCGTCATTTCTTTAAAACGGTTATAGGGGCTCATTTGGAGACTACGAGAAACATTTTGAAAAACATTTTCGGCAGCAAGTTTCTAGAATATATTGACAGTTGAAAATCGAAGTTCAACTTTGATTTTTTAAAAATGGTCCCATGTTTGATCGGTGACAAGCACATGTAAACCCTCTGGCCACAGGGGACAGTTGGACAATGGACATACAAGAAGACTGAAGAGATCCTTACCCCTCGACCTACCGGATAGATTCATGAGTGGTTGACATAGCTTAGAACTGAATGCTTGGCACTCCACATAGCGGCTGCTGGGTCGTCATGTGAGCGGGACTATTTGGATGTGAACTAATCTTCTGAATGCTTTTATTATAAGCAGATTGTCGATAGTGTTAATAAAAAAAATGTTTGATTGGTAGCCTATTGGAAAACTTAAACATTCGAGAAGCAAAATTACGCTTGCTGCTTCGAATTATAAAGCTTTAGATATAAAAAATAACTTTTCTGCAATTTTTTGATAAAACTTCAAAGTTGATTGTTTTGATTAATTCAACATTCAATTGATGTTTTTGCCATTATCACGTACTTAGTTACAGATAGATAGCTTTTGTCACGATTAACAAGCAATTGCCAAATGGGGACTTAGTTTGAAGCTTCTTTCACAAAATGTACACCAATATGGAACATGCCGATTGCTATTAGTTATGGGGGACAACACAGCCGAAGCCATAAGAACTTACAAAAACAAAGGGCTAAAGACACTGCACGATTGGCTCCAGAAATTGAAGCAGATAGTGTACGACCTAGAGGTGTTCGGGTTCCAGACATGGAGAAACAGGTATTGGAGGCAATTGTAGCAGATCCTCCCAAGAGTACTCTATCAGGATCACTTTTCCAGGTAGGCCTGGGTAACTCAGTGAATGTTTAGGAGTTGGCGCAGTGCTGCGCAAATGGCTTGGTGAGCCAACCCAACGCACCAGCGCAATAACTCGGTTCCGTTGCTGGGAAAATGTTGATTACTTTTTTTTACTTGCTTTAGATTTATTTTCAAGTCCATTTATTAATAACATTTTTTAAATCTGCAAATTTCGGAATTTTATGGTTTTGGCCAAGTTACTTCTCCTTCTAAATGCTCAATTTTCTAGTTTCACTTCAAAAATGCTGACAATCTTAAGGTATTTTCCGCGAAAAATTATGAAATAAATTTCGTATCCTTCGTCGCTCTGTTAAAAGTTGTGAATTTGAACACGAATTTGGGACATAAACGAAAATACATTTCTCCCGATTTTCCCCAAAAACCATTAAGGTTTTCTCCAAAACCGATCACAAAACTTAAAGTTTTTAATCGGAAACGCAAATAAGCATTATTTTCTGATGATTTTATTTTCAGCCAAAAATTACGAAATTAATTTTGCTGGACAATTCGCCTCAGTCATCGGTTTACAGGGAACTTTAGAAAACCTTTTTCAGCTAGAATTTGGCACAATAACCAAATAATTTTATTGAGTTTTTTACCGAAAGTAATCAGGATTATCTTGAAAAAACGACCAGAAGAAAAGTTTACAAAAAATTATTTGAAAAATTTACCGCCCTCATTGCTCTGAAGAATTTAAAAGTTTCTTTAAATTTTTAGGTCAGTCCAGTTTTAACCAAATTTCTATTAAGCAATTCTTTCTCCGCAAAAATCGCATAATTTTTTAGTTTTACTTAAAATATTGACAACCTTCAGGTGTTTTCTGTGAAAAATTATAAGATACATTTTATTGGAACACTCGCCTCCTTAACCGCTTTGCAAATATTTTTCAAAAACTTTTTGCACTTCGGGTTATGGATAAAACCGTAATTATTATTTCTGCTGGTTTTTCCAAAAATATTTCACCGAATTGAAGAAGCAAAAGTTTATAAACTTTTATTTGGAAAATTCTTGAAAACCAGGGTTTCTTCAATTTTAAGTCAATATTTCCAAACAGAAAGACCGCGTTTTTCCTCACGTTTTACTGTAAAACACTGGCAAACTAAATCTTTTATGCAAAAAAATAAGATATCGATTTCACAAGAAAACTCGTTGACTTTCTTTCTGAAAATCTACATGATATTTTTTAGTTGTTAGAACAAAGTAGTAAAACGTTGCACAGAAAAAATATTGATGACCTTTTATTTAAATGTGAAAATTCCAGTCTCGGGTCTCGTGAAGTTTTGATAAATTAATTATAACTTATTGACCGATGAGTTATAACTCGGTAACTCAGAAAGCGACACCAACTCAACACAGTGTTACCCAGGCCTATTCCCAGGCAACTGTACACTGAAGAATTACCGAGCAAGGGCTATGTATGTAAGATACACAGGACACAAGAACACATTAAATTTTTGCTCTACGGAATACCGGTACAACAAGCATTCGCTAATAGACCGAATTCACAGCCATCATCTCCGATCTACCGATGAAGGAAAATGGTGAGTTCTCCCCGTATTCCGATAGCAACATAGTCATTCTCAATCTCAAATCTACGCGCAAAAATTTCAATAGTCACTTTTAAGCAAGTTATTTTTTTTATACCGAATCTTATGTCTGTCTGTGTCTTAAGTTATCTGAGTCGGCAGGACTTCCCGAAAGTCCTGATCGCTATCGTTAAACTGAAATTTCACCTGCTTGTACAATCAGAACCGTCTTCCGAATCTTGGAACATTCCAGAACCGATTTCAGTTGTTTACGTGGAATCCTCAATCTACAACCAACAGCAGAGGAAGATCACTCCAGGACTTAATCGGTAATTAAAATTTAAAAAAAGGATGAATCACTAGTTTATCAGATTTTTGATACAAATTTATAAAAAATGCATTTTGAAATTCACTCCGCTTCTAGCTCAAATAACGTCCCTCAAACGTCTTGGAATGCCATAAAAAAATGGTTATGAATTATTGCCATTCTTGAAGAACCGCGTTTTTTAATTCAGCCAAGTTTTCAGGAGTAGGTGCAAAATGTTCGATATGGTTTCGATATGATTCGAATCTCTTGAATGTACTTCTGGGAAGTTAATGATTTTTTTGAATCACCACAAGGTGCGTACTGGCCTTGGAGGCCAGTACTATAAATGCCACCCCAAAACATTATTGAGCCACCACTGAAAGCTAGTTGGGGAACCATACATGCTTGGCTGTGTCTTCTCCAAATAAACGCTCCCCCATCCGAAAATTTTAAACTCACTCTAACTTCATCAGCAAGAATTTACAAGCCGTAAAATGTTGGTCCGTAGGACATACTATTATGCACGTAGGTACTAAGTTTGCACATGAATAAAATTTTGATGTATGTATGCGCTTTGATACGGATTACGCCGGTACGCACAAGGCGTTAAATATTGGTCTATATTGCGTACTATTATGTACGTGCTGACTTTGCATACGAATAATATTTTAATGTAGGTACCTACATCTTTGGTACAGATTGCAGAACGTACAATGTTGGTATACAGGGTGTCCCGTAATATGTGGGCATGGTCTCGGATTTGTACAAGAGACGTTAAAAAACATAACAAGTTTTAGGGACCCTAGGATCCCTAAAAAGAACAGGGATGGCCTAAGTGGAGCACAATAATAGTTACTTTTTACCCTTTACAATGAAGACACATAAATAACGTATTTAGCTAGCTTTAATCTTAAACTAAAAAAAGGACACTCTTCATTCATACCGATAAACAGGACGGTTTTCAAAGAAAACATATTTTTATTGTAACGGATTTACTGAACAATTTTGTATGTAGGTTCAACATGAGCTCCTTCCAATTTTATGCCTCCCTAGCTCGAAGTATTTTTTATTAAACAATTGACATATATCAAAGACCATATAAGATAAGTTAACAGAACTAGAGTGGCCCAAACTCGCAATTCGAATTGGAGATTGTATTTAAAATAAGAAAGTCAGGTTACAATTTTCGTACACCCTGTATAGCTAGAGGGCTGAATGTATTGTACATGGTTTCGGCACTACTGGTTATCACCGGAAACAAAATTTGAAGTTTCTACAACTAAGTTGGAAAACTTTTATTGCACGGTCTACGAAAATCACCCTGTGCGGAGGTTTAAACCCTATGGCAATAAACCGTTTGCYGGTTGTCCCAAGATAAAACATTATCTCATGTTAAATTCGACGTAGAAAGTGATCATCTTTCTGTAATCGATTTTTCTGCGGTTTAGTATTAAAATMAGTAAATTTATTAGCTGTASGTAGGGTATTCCATATGAAGGAAGGAAASAGCACAAGGATAACTAAAATAATAGTCTGAATAAAAAGTATTAATCGTTAATAAAATTAAACTCAAGTTCAGAACAAATTTTATGTTAATGTAGTTCAGTGATGGTAGTAAAATGAGACTGCTGCTAAGAGCCAAAGCATTCTTTGCTCGATAAAACCTATTAAAGCTTTTCAATTCAAATATAACATTTTTTTAGGTAAAGGTAAAAGTTTGGCTGCATTTTCTTGTACATACATACTGAGTCAATAATTTCAGCGAATTCGACTTAGCATTGCAAAAGTAACAACTTAATTGACTTCGTTTTGCAGCATCTTATTTTCTATCATTTAAACTTAGTTGAAAATAACGAAATATCTACGGGATAATTTCCTAACTTCAATATGATGATTACTAAATAAATGGAACTAGATTATTATAGTCTAGTTGAAAGCACGGCTGCTAGTAAGGCATAAATTGACCATTCTCTAGAASGGTTYGCATTGCTGTAATCATCGGATCTTGTAAAATTTTCCATTGCTTCATCGATCCAGTCGGCAAAATACGAAAGTCGAACGTAAACTGAAGGAATTCCTGCTGAACAATTCACCACTCCAAAGGAAACGATCGCTATTTGGGTTCCGTTCACTACAAGAGGTCCACCGGAATCTTCGTTGCAAGATCCAACGATGCCTATACCTAAAACATATTTTTGGGGATGAGTTTCACTCATTTACAGGGTATGCGAGGATCAATGTACCAAAACGTGAGATATTCAAAACAGTTTTCTAGCAAAACCAAACTAAACTCAGGAATGCTTGTTCTTCAAAATCTTCACTACTAGAGCAAGGAAAATTTATTTCGAATCGACCCCCGTCAGCATAGTATTTCGTGGTAAAATAGTCGCAAAATAGTGAACCATGTTTTTACCAAGAAACATTAACTGGTCAGTGCTATAACGAGTTACTAAGACAAATGTTTGCAATAAAAATTTTGAACTAATGAATTATTATGTTTGCTGCGTTTTTTTCGTATTTTTGAATATAATATATTAAGTATGTTTTATAAGTGTTATTTGGTTCATTTCTTTTTCAAATACCTAAATATATATACAGGGTGATTCAAAATTGACGTCACTCCTTTTAAGG